GGCAGGAGCAGGAGGTCCTCCTCCATCCGTGTCTCCAAACCCTCAAATTTCCCTGTTGCAAAATCAATTGGTGACAAGAAAAGTCCCGTGGACTTTTCCGGAAAATTCTAACGGAAAAGTTGTGTACATTCTTGTTGCAAAATCACTCTATTGTGGAGAATTTCTTGGTTCACATCTCTCCAAAAAGATAGTTACTCCGTAGTTACATTTAAAATATGATCTCCTCGACACTGTCCAATTAATCGGGGTGTACTTGCACACCATTATTCTATTATTATACTATAAACAGTGAAGGGTACAATCCAGAACGCCCTAATGGTCTAGTGGTATGATTCCTGCTTTGGGTGCAGGAGGTCCCGGTTTCGATCACCGGTTGGGGCCACTTCTTTTCCTGCAAAGAAGTGAATAGCATTTTGCTCTGCGTTGCGGTACCCAGCACATCCTTTTGCAGGTGCTAAAGTTGTACCGGAGAGGGAGTGCGGCGGTACGTCCGTCAGTACTGTTCGAAGGGGCTACGAACTCGAGAACGTATGCAGTGGGTCCAGTGGTTGCTGTGGAAGGTCCCAGATGTGTACTGCACGGTCTAGTTGCATTCGGCTCCCATTCGTCTTGGTCTGCCTCCGATGCGTTTGCCGCAGCGGAAGTCGGCGGCGGTGGTCTGAGAATGGATGAAATCGCCAAGTTGTCAGTTGTTCAAACTCTTCCACCGTCATGGTAGAGTGATACCTCACATTTTGCACCCCACTCAAAATGAATCAACTGCATAATATGATTCGACGTCAAGTACTTGATGTGTAAAGTCTTTAGAGGTCGTTTACTTTGGGTTTCCATCCGTCTGTTAGAATTTATATTTTGGAGATGGTGCACAATGTGAGGTATCACTGTACCACACCTTGAAATGCCAGGACACGACGTTACGCCGACTATGGTACTGTTGCCATCGAACTGATCCAGCCTGTACCTGGAAAGGACTTGTTCCGGCCGAGCAGATCTGCAGGCTGGACCCGGGTATGCGTTCGTCCGTGTGCGATGCTTGCTGTGCCTGGGGTACTAGGAGCTTTCCGGCCGCTCCCTGCTTGCCACCATGGCGTTGTCGAGTGTCCTTCGTTGCGATGGGCAAAACTTCCCTTTTCCAACAATTGGTAATGGCTGCATCGCCCCAAGGAAAACCCTGTGTAACAAGGGCGGCTCGAATCGGTGTGTCCATCCCCTATTGTGGGCGGCCAAGTCCCGCGACGAGATGGATACAAAACAGTGGCTTCTGTTCACGGCGGCGCTCCAATCGGCCCCGCCGGCTGCTCGCTTCATGGCGGTCGCCCTGCCTGCGTGCACGGTTGCAATGCCCTCCTCACCCAAACCCCGCTGCTGCGCGAGTGGTTGTGCCTCGAATTTCTGAAACTAGTTGATCGATTGGCTTGGCGCTTGCGACACACTGCTTTTCAACCATTGCACACAGAGTCGGCGACGGTGCAGAATCCGCATACTTTACGGTACAGTGGATTCGGGCAGTGTATTTGGGAATCTAGCGGCCACCACGATCGCCCACGAACGCCGACATGACCACGATGCACAGCCCCACGCCGTATGCAAACGTGGCGACGCCGCCGCCGCCGCCGACGTCGAACCAGCCGTACGTGAAGAATGACGCGTTGGGGCGACGACGTCCTCACAATCCGTGGCTTGCAACAGGTCCGCCACGACGACCGCAGACGTGGTCGAGATGGAGCCACCGATTCTCGTCCACCGCAGCAGTCGCTTGTCTGCCGGGGGACGGCCGTCGTTGCCATCCATCGCAGTGACTCCGCCGTCGCTGCCAGACCCGACGACAGGGATGCGCCAGCGCCTGAGCTCGCTCGTGAGCAACAAAGGCAACCACGATGCCGTCGGCAAGCTAAAGATTGAAGTCGGCAAGGAGCGATCCCTCGGCACGGACACCAAGTACCGACGTACGTGGCGACCTCGATCGAATTCCCATTCATCATCATCGTGTAGCCGATTTTAAATACAACATGGAGCTGGCGCTGCGCACGGCCGTCGGCGTTGTCCTCGCGTCGCTCGTGCTCACCAAGAACACCGACTCGAATGCCATGATCACGTCGACTTCGCGGCAAAAACAGTGGTTTTTTTTTCCCGAATGGTACATCCTGGGCGGGCTGTCGTACGTGGCGACGGCGACCGTCTTCGGATGCGGCAAGAACATCGGGTCCACGATTCGCGAGCTGTACCAGCAAATTTCGGGCGTCGGCATCGCGCTCCTCTACAACTTGCTCATTTTTTCGTACTTTGAGCCCCAAGTGTTCAACACAAAAGCCGAACGTACGCCGACGACCGCATTGTCCCGATCGCTTGACGCGCGGCGTGTGGTTTTTGTAGTGGAGCTTGCCAAGAACACGACACTGACGTACATCGGGCACGCCTTTAGCGGCAGCCCGTACTACGTCCACCAGCGCGATTTCTTTACGATTTTACCGTTTATCATGTTGTTTACGATGGTGGCGCTGGTGCTGCCGCTGGTAAGACCGTGTTGCACGTCCGGCCGCCGTGCGGTCACCTGTCGTGAATAGGAAACCAACACGAAGAAGTACATGCTCGGAAACAACCTGTACTTTGCGCTGACGCTCGTGAGTCCCAACGACTTTACCAACCCGGCCGTGCTCAAAGCGCCGGGCGACGACCTCTACCGCACGTCCAACCTCCTCCGCAACTTGATGGTGTACATGCTCCTCGGAGTGACCGGCGCGTGCATTGCCCAGTTCATGCTATGGTTTCCGTACCCGATATTCGCGATCCGAAAGCTCCAAGAACAAACGACCACGTGTGCCGACAACATCCAGGACCTGCTCAACTTGATCGTGGATTCGTACTGCTTCAAGAACAAAGACGTCGAGCACATGAACTTCCTCAAACTTAAGCTCAAGCGCAAGTTCGACCTTGCCATCGCCAAGCACGCGACCATGACGGCGCTCCTCAACGACGTGTGGTGGGAGCAGCTCGTGGGCCTCCACATTCCGCTCAAGTTTCGCCTGTCGGCGGTCAAGCCATTTATTGACTTGTACGCGTCCCAGATTGAAAACCTCCGCGCGATGAACCAAGCGATTCTCCTCGAACGCTACGAGTCGCTCCATGAAGCGTTCATGAAGTCGATTCAAAAGGAAGTGTACGTCGTCCAGCTGCACGCAACGCGCCTGCTCGATGAAATCTCGGCCCAGATCCACGTCGGCACAACGGGTACGTGGGCGGCGCATCCCCGACGACATTGTCCTGACGGACCATGTCAGAACTCGACCTGAAGGAATCGGCCCGCGTCGAAAAGCACATGGAGATGCTCCTCACGCACTTTCAAGCGACGCAAAACCGCATCTACAAACGGCACGCGCCAACACCCAAACAAGTCGAGGCCAACATCCCGCTCAACTTGTTTTTGTTCTCGCTGCAGTCGTACTGCTCGACGTTGCTCGAGTTCCAGCCGTCATTTAACGGGAAAACGCACAGGACGGTATGCGCGCACCACGTGCCTCTTCCCGACCTTACACGATCTTTGATACCAACACGCTGTGGCTCAGGGCAAGCGCGTCATCAAGTTTCTCTCGGCGACGATCAAGACCTTCTTTGACAAATCCAAATACCCCCGCGACAAACTCGAAATGGCGGCGAAAGTGTGGGGCGCGATCTTGGCGGCGTGCTTTTTTTCAGTCTACACGTTCGGGTATGCGTCGACGACGGCAAATGCTGTCGCGTACGTGATGGGGAACCACATTGGTGCGTACGATTGAAATCGTCGGCCAGCAAACTCGTGCTGCGGCGGTTGCGCATGCTGTCATGGGGGAAGCTGACAATCAAACGCTTGTAGGCGGGTCGTTCAGCGTGACGGCGAACCGAGTCGGCGGCGTCATTGCCGGCAGCATCATTCCGTCCATCTGCCTCTTTTACATTTGCTCGTACGCGTGCTTCAGTAGCATCGTTGTCGCCGTCTGCACGTACTCGATCCTGTTTGTTTGGGTCACCATGTCCATGTACATCAAGTGGAAGGGCGGGTTCGAGTCGTACGCGGGACTGATCTCGGCCTTTTCCGCGACGCAGGTGCTTCTGCGAGGCTGTGATGGATGCGAGCGCGGCGCGGTCGCCCCGATTTCGTCCTACTCGAACCTGGCCCAGATGAGTCTCGGCATTGTCCTGTTTATCGTGGTCGAGATGGCCATTTGCCCGCAAAGCGCGATGGCCCTCCTCCGCGCCAACATTCAAAAGCAGCTCAAATTGTACCAGCAGTGCTTCAAGGCGCTCGTCGAGGACACGCTCGCCCGCGACCAAGACAACCAGGACGCCGTGGACGAAATCAAGGACGTCGTCAAGAAGAAATTGCCTGCGTTGCTTGTGGAACAGGCCGCGTTGCTCAAGGAGGCGGCGTTTGAACCGTTGCTGTGGAAGCCGCCGTTCTCAACGCAAAAGTACGAAGCTGTGCTGGATTGCTGCCAGCGCCTGCTCAACAATACGCTTGTCCTGTACAAACTAACGCAATGGCACAAGACTCGCATGGAGCTGAAAACACCCAAGACAGACGAGAAGGTAGAGAAATCGGGCAAGGACGTCGGCAACGACGCTGCCACCACGACCCTCCTCGCCGCAGACGGCACGGCGGCGTTGCCTCCACCAGACAAGGAACCGTGGGGATTCTCCACGTCCGAAGTTACGCTCGCAATCCACGACACGTTCGATACGATGCACGACCTGTTTGGCGAAAACTTTACGTACGCTGACGGCGACCAAACCGCTCTGTTTATGCAAATGAAGGAAGCGTTTCGGGTCGCGGACAAGGACTGCAGCGGGGAAATCGACGCGGCCGAAGTGAAGACGATGCTCGAGATGATCTTTGCCCAGTCGGGCGCGGTCAAAGTGGACGCGATCGACGCGTACGTGGCCGAGTTTATGCAGATCGTCGACAGCGACAAGAGCGGAAAGGTGAGCCTCGACGAATTCATCAATGCTCTCGAGCACGGCCTCCAGCTCCAGGTCGAGGTGTTCCAGCACCGTTCGAAGAAGGTTCCGACCGTCCATCTCGCCGCCATCCACGAAGACGTGTCCCAGAATTCGACCCAGATGGACGACAAGCCGCCGCCGCCCCATCGCGTGTCTTCCCAAGCCGACCACGGCGACAACATGACGCGGGCCCACGACATGCTGAACGTGGATTCGTTCTCGCTGCCAGAAGTGGCCCAGGCGATGCGGACCACGTACGCTACGTGGCTCCTTGAAAACGCTCGCTACGAATCCACATCGATGGAAGATCTTCTCCTCCTCAATTGCTTGATCAGTGGCGTCAGCGGGTTCGCTCGCAACCTGGCGCTGCTCGAAGAAATGACTGTTCAACAATAATACACACATGTAAACATATCGATGTCACCACCAAATTGCCACGCGCCTTGTGACCGCGGGCGCTTTACAACACCGTCCCGCGGTTCCGGCGGGTGACGACGCAAGTACGGATCCACGTCTGCGTCAAAATGAGGGAGGATCGAGGCGCGAGTCGACTGTGTTTCGACCGAGAGAACGTGGTGGAATTCTTTCCACCCTCCAGTGTTCGCAGCCATTGAGTTTCCCCTCCTGTATGAGCTCGTTTCGGCCGAGCTCGCCTGGTGGACGACGTGAAAAGAGCAACAACTCCTGCAAGTAGACGTTTCCAACATCCATTGGGGGAAGCAAGGGACATGCAAGATTGCACCGAGATGACGGGTGGGCAGAGCGCCCAGTGGATTCGCGTCGCCGCGAATGCCAGACAGAATTCAGTCGAAGACACGGTGGCCGCAAATATTTGCTTGAATCATGACACGCTGGCATTGTCAGACGTTTTGCCCACTCGATGAATCTCGAGGTGCGCCGATTACAGCACTGCTTCAACTTAGTGATCGCAAAAGGTCACGATCGAGTGCCGCAAGCGTCTTGGAAGTGTTCGACTTGCCAGAGCTTGGCCTGCCCCCTTGTCAGGCGTCCTTCAAAAAAGGTGCAGACACCGTCCTGTACGAGGGATCCTTGCCAGTTCACTTTGCCTCTCAAATCCATGAGCGCCATGAAATCTTTTACCGCCGTCGCCGCCTTGATTTTGCCCGTGTCGATTTCGCCGCTCCCGTCCTTGTCGGTACGGGAACGTTTGCTTCATCTGGATGGACGACGCCCTTGTCGTCCGGGCTCGATTACCCGAACGGGGCGCCAAGAGCTTCCTAGAGCATCGCAAACTGCCCACAAGTGCAAGGGCAGGATACGCCCGTGGTGTTTCGCCGTCGTCGAGAACGGCAGCCGCGACAGCTGCGGCTCGAATGCTTCTTCGCAGATGAGCGAACCTTGGCGCTTACCAGCGCGGGGCAGTTGCACCAGGCCATACTTGAGCACCGTGGCCGTTGCGCTGACTTCATTGTGTTGCGTCAACGTGTGGACGACGTGCGGCGCACTGCTAGCTCGACCACAACTAACAGGACCAATGCCGACCTCAGCTTTGCCAAACTCGCGTAGGGCAAGACCGCTGACTTCGACATAGGGGTGGCCGCCGCTGGTACTCGTCCCCGTGAAGAGCTGACTGCATCCCAGCAGCAGGAGTGGGGGGGTCAAAGCGTCGGCCAAACTGAGCCCGTCATACCAGTCCAAGTTGTTCTTGAAGCCGACCAACATGGAACACGTTAACCACGCAATCAAGACCAAGTGCGTCGTCAATGACAAGTGAAGCTCCGGAAGGTCGCGAACCAAGAGATGCAAAAGATGGCGACGCTCGAGATGATGGAGCTGGCACCGATCCTGCCGACGCAGTTTGATGTGGTCCGGAGAGAGACACCCAAGAAATCAAGGACTGGTCACATCGCCCGTATTTGGTAGGTCTCACGAACACGAGTCAGACATGAAACATTTGATGGCAAACCAAGGGGGACATAGGAGGAGGCAAGCACAAGGATAGAACGAAGACAGGGGCGGTGCGCCCCCATTGATTCAATGCGACGCATAAACGCAGGGGGCAGGCGGTTGGGGCGATGGGCTGGCACCCCAATCTGCACATCACAATCGCCCCGTGGCTGGAAAAACAGTCGAGAACCCAAACGAGTACTCACCGACCATGCGTACAATCAAAATCGCGGCAAAACCTTGACCGCGGCGTAGCATCAACTGGGGGTGTAGTTGGCTGCGTCCGTGTAACACCGAATTGTCGCTCGGAAAGTGTCCTCGACGTGGTGGAGCCGCGTAAGCGAAGCGAAATTCATCAGAACAGTGCAAAATCCTTGAGGTCCAAATGGAAGGCCTGGCGCGGACGGATCTTTGCTCTGGGCGCCCTCGTGTCAGGCGGCAAGATATTCCACCAGCGTCGCTTCATGGCATTGCAACGGCAGCAACAGTAAATACTGCGGCATTTGCGCCATCTACTCGTGCCGGAGACGGGTGTTGCTTGGCGTAGAGGCGGCTGCCCATGTACCGAGCCCTTCGTCCAACTAGCGGTGGGATCGGATCATCCATCGAGAGAGAAAATTCGACAGCAATTCAGTCGATGAGACAGTAGTGGCCTTGCCGCATGCTGTCGGCAATCTCATCCATCATCCGCGGTGTGTGGAGGTTCACGAGGGCGATATTCTTTTGCAGCGATTCCATGTACATTCCATCAAGTGCTCCCTGCCCAATGTCCCATACGCCAAATATCTCAACAGGGATGCGGAGGTGATGTGCTGACAACAGCAGCGCGTGTGGAGGTTTTAGCTGCACGCGGACGAGCTCTGTGTATTGGACAGGTGATCACGACGTGGTAGCGCTGCGGCACGTCGAGCCCCACGAGCTAGTCCCTCCACACGTCGTCGAGGAGGGCGGTCAGTTCAGAGCTATTCGCGACGGACGCGTTGAATATTCGCTAGAGCTTAAGTCGCACGAGTGGGTGACATCCTTCGCTATGAAACAGACGCGTCGATGAGGAGGTCTAGGTGCTTCTTTAGCATCTGTGCGCAGGACGCCGGGTGGGTTTGCGGCTGCCGAATATCCACGATGGTAACGTGGTGTCCAATTTCCAGAGCATCAAATCCATGACCAAGTTCTTGAGGATATTCTTGGTCGAGCGGAACAGATCCAGGGCGTTTTGACGACTGCGAAGCTGGTGAATCCGTTGGGGCTGGCCTACGTCAGCCTGATTGTTGCTCCACATGTACCGCCTCGTATTGGTGTGCCAGGATGAATCCATCCCGTCCATACATATTTCGGATCGACAAACAACAGGTCGGACGTACCACGGACAGTAGAATCGCCAAACATCCGCCAAGAGCATGATAAATGGGAGCTTGGTATGATAAGGTGGGCTGAATATGTATGGACGGGATGGACTCGTTCTAGCAAACCAATACGGGGCGGTACATGTGGAGCAACAATCAGGCTGACGTAGACCAGCCCCAACGGATTCACCAGCTTCGCAGTCGTCAAAACGCCCTGGATCTGTTCCGCTCGACCAAGAATATCCTCAAGAACTTGGTCATGGATTTGATGCTCTGGATATTGGACACCACGATTGCCAACCACACGCTATGGCTACCCATCGTGGATATTCGGCAGCTGCAAACCCACCCGGCGTCCTGCGCACAGATGCTAAAGAAGCTCCTAGACGAGTGATGTGCACACACGACCGTGTCATCGACCTTGGCTTGGTCGAATACACACACCCATCGCATCCTTCGCACCCCTTTCTCGGGCTCAACACCGCGTACCCTCGTCGTCAGATACAACCACAAGAAACCCATGATGGAGTGGGCCAACGCGAACCCGACGCCGCCCAGTTACTGGACAACGCCACGCACCGTGATGTTGTTGTCCTAGCCAAACGCCGTCTCCATCCTGACCACGGACAGACCGCAGAGGACGTACCATTCGGGGAAATATACCTGTGGTCTCCATGCGCTCTGCGCGCTCGAACTTGGTCACGTGAATCGAGTCAGGAGTATGGCTGCCACCACCGACCAAAAATGCCGGTTTTCACACCGCCAGCGAAGTAGGAACTTGAATTGCGCTGGCATTGCAACGACACGCGAGTTTGAGTGGACGGCCTGTGGAAAAATTTCACTCACGTCAATATACGTTTGTTGTATCCTCACCCTTTCCCAGACCGCTTGGCCTTCCTTCACGCGGATCTCGTCTCGTCGTCCCGTGGTGGCGCCAGTGCGAAGAGCTCGGTCGTCGTTGCGGCCTTCAGGTGTCCCAGTGGCAGCGATCTTGACCAGCGTCAAGACCGGTACGATCAACGATCGAGTCGACTTTGACCTGCCCTTGACCATCGCACACGGTGTGCTGTTCCTTGTGCAACGGGATTTTCAGCAGTGACAGAACAATGTCCGTGCTTGATGCACAAACGATTCAAATTGAAGTGCGTGCTTGGGGCCGTGTGTCGACAGCGTGCGGCGGCGCTCCATGGACCCGCCCAAACTGCATGAAGCGAGACAATGGCACCGCATCAATTCGCGTCACTCGCACTTCCATCGTTCTTGGTGACACGTGTGTCTGGAATTGCACGAAATGGTCGATATAATGCGCTTAACAGCATCGAGCATGCTGAAAACGTCCGATCCAACGTCGGGAGGAAGAGGTAACCACCATCGAAGATAGTTGGACCTGTCAAACGGGGCTTGATTCGCATGCTGGAGCGCAACTCATGCTTGACTGTAGGCGCGGTCAAGACGAGCTTCATCAGCGGTGGGACAGTGACGCAAAAGGGGCGATTTGTCCAGCATATCCTACCCGTCCATGCCTTTGCCCTTGACCATGAAGCGTCGTAAGTTACTTCTCTCTTCAACCACCAACCAAGTGTCACCATCTTCGCTCTACCGATCCCAATAATGGCAAGGCCAACCAAAGACCATCGGGACTCAACTCAGACTAAAGCAACGACGATATGCGCTGCTTGCCACAGCCAAATTCGACCTGGCAATTGTCGTTTCCCTTGGTAGGTCGTTCGGATGACATTTTTCAACTTTAAACGGGTCGTTGGCCGCACATCAAGTGCATGCTCAGCGTTGGCTTTCGGAGTGTGCCGTGGATGGATCAAGCGTCAGTTTTTTTGGTTGTGGCGTATTCCTATTGTTTTCGATGGATTCGAAAAGTTTGATGGCTGGTCGAAATCACGAACCGACCTGTTCAACTTGATGCGAAAACATGACCGGGTAGGCGCGATCGACTTCATTTGTGCTTGCTACTTGGACCTTGGTCGTCGCAGCAGCTCACCGAGCTGGGGACAGTGAAAACGCATTCTTGCAAACGCATCCTCTTGACGAGTGACAAAGTGATACGTCCGTGCCACGTTGTCTCGCCATTCCCTGAGCGAACGCTGTTTGTCACCGCAGAAGCATCACTCGGCGTCAATTGTAGGGGCTAACCTGGCCGACGAGTCGGGCCTGATATTTTCCAAAGTGTGCCTGTCGAGGACTGCGCCTTCGTCCGCGGCACTATGTTGGGGTTTCCCTATTTACCCCGAAGTGCTTCTGGACGTGTGAGCGCTTGCGGAGCTAGGAGGCCTGCACAACAGCGTGATGCCAGAGTCGTGCCAAAGCGTATGCCAGCATCAAGAATCGTGAACGTTGCAACACGACCATGGACGACCTTTGGCACAGTCACGGTATGCTTTGCCAGCGCTGAGACTAAGAGCGGCTGGACCGTGCTGCCAAAGGTTGGCACAAACTCGTTCGATTTCGCCGGTGGCTACCAAGGCACACGTAAGTTCTCCATCGACAACGTGCGTCGCAAAGGACATCAGAGAGCGCACGAACTGTCGGCCCAACTTGGGACATCGATAGCGGCGCTCACGAACCAATCACCCGTCCGTCAACCATGGCCACCAGCGTATCAGGACATCTCCAGCCTCAACCTGCAGAAGTAGTGCGTTGGTGGCGTCAGCATCCCCGGTTCGTGCGAGCCGTGTAAGCTCGGGACAGTAGTCCATGCGTTTTTTTGACATCGGCAAAGTCGACGATTGTTGCTCCAAGGGGGCGCTCTCGAACCACTAGAGCAATCCCTGTGCAGCATGATCGAGGGGGGGGGCTCCAAGGAGCACGAAATCCAGGAAGGTCACTGGGAGTGTGGATCAAAAGGACAAAATGAGCGCACCGACGCATGATCAAGGAATGGGTAACGTCGTGCTGCTATTGCCTTGGTAATAGCAGCATGTTGGAGGTCATCATGTTTTCCAGCGGAAGTGGCATCCTTCAGTTCATCATGCGACTCGCCACGTCGACGATATTCTAGGGAAGGGTAGAGCGCTCGAACTTAGGACCGAGCCCATGGCCATCCATGTCCACCACCTTGCTCAACTCAAACCCGAGCGCCGAGTGGAAGGTGGTCGGTTGGTGTGCAGCCAGTATCGGCCAAACGAGATGCGATGCCCCCAATGAATCCGAGATGAATGCACTCAAGCAAGAGGTTGCATTCGCCCTTTGGTGGAGCCAACCTAGAGTCATATCGACGACGTCTTGGATTCAACGGGCGAAAAACTTCGCCTTCTCCAGCCCTGGGGCCTCTCAACCCCAACTCTTACGCACAGTCTATTGTGTCGATTCCGAGGGATCTGAGCCATCGCCAGGCTTGGGCGAACTACTGGAATAAAGTGTTTGTCTTATCTGCGGAGTTTACAACAGCAACAGCGATCGCGTTGTCGATGTGCTCAGCAACAGATCTGCCGTCTCCAAATCCAATGCCGCGCAAAGTCTGCACTGCGGTGGGCCATGACTCTTGAACTGCGAACAAGACAACGCACACACCACTCTCAATAATCGATTGGGTATGATGGACATGATGCCGCTGCACATGCGTTGACATGCACACGCGTGAGAGAGACCATGAGGACGACGGTATGTATATACCAAAGGGTTGAGCGAGTTCATCTCGCTTCTTGTTGCCGCCGTCGTCGGCGGCGCGCAAGCAACTTTTCATCGGATGCTTGAGGCCACACCCACGATTGGATGGTCCACATCACAGTGGCCCCCATCCCAAACCCAACCAACGCCAACAGCGGCCAGCTCCGAGCCGAAGTCGGGGTTGGAGAGGCATGGAGAATGTTGGGGAGGTCTTCGTGGGTGGTGCGACCGAGGCCGAGACAGTCGACAGCGCGATCAAAGGCAGGATGCACAGCAATTTGAGTAGCGGCATGGTCGTTGCATTGGGTGTTTACGACAGCGACACCACTCGGAGTTGGTTTCCACGCGGCGGATGAAAAAACAGCTTTGCACCAAGGAGGGGACGGCGATGCGGCGACACACGAATTTGTATAGTACCGGCGAACGCGGGTGCACCACGTGTCCATTGCGTCGCTCGAACGAGTGTCAAGACGCTGGGTGCAGTGCGGGACCCATTTTTGCATGACTTCGTCAATAGGCAGAGTCCCCAAGGGCGGGACGGTGTCTGCCGAAGCAGGCACCAAAGGGGGCGGGCGGGCGAGAAGGTTGTCGGTGTCGTTGCCGTGGGCGGCAAACGTTTTCTCAAACACAAGCGCTGCGGCATCTCCCCGACGAGTCGGTTTCCCAGCAGCGTCGTCGGCGATGATCGAGCTGTAACTTTTGCAGCAGCTCACCGTCATAAACCACTCGGTCCATTCGGCATCGCACGTTGCCTCGTCTGTCCATGACACACTTTTGCAAAACGGGCTGCTCCCCGCCATCGATTCCAAATGCAACGTGGACGCGGTGTCGGTCGAGCCATGGCGGATGACATGGTACCCCGAATAGGCAAAGCACTTGTCGCCGGCGTTTTTGACACTACGATGATGATGCTGGCCCCAGTCACACAACGCAGCAGATTTTGCATGCCCCCCCAGCTCTGGACACGATGGATACGCAGCTCGCGTTGTGGGCAGCGACAGCACATCGTCCGGTGATCCCAGCGTCGTGCAAGGCGGTGTGGTGCCATCGCTGTAGCACTCGACACGCCCCAACTCGGCATTCCACCGCAGCGCGACCCCCTCGGGGGAACGTGCCCATGCCACCGCCTCGTCGTCCTTCTCCCGTTTGTACGCCGCCTCGGTGTCGAGAAAGTATTGTGCGCATTGAGCCTCCATCGAACGAGGACCTTCATGCTCCGTGTGCCGGAAATTCGGGGCGGCAAACCCTTCGCCCTTCCATGATGGATCCAACACTGGCAAGTGGAATGCCACCGCGTCGACGTCTGTGCCATGAACAGGGTCAATGACCATGGATGGGGTCGGATACGAGCACACGTCAACGCGCTTCTTGTGCCATGTCCTGTCGACTGTCGACACAAGCGCGCCAGCGTCGCGAAGGGGCGAATGGGGCATGGCTTTCGGCGAGACCGCGGGCGCTCGCGACAATTGGAGGGGCCATGACCCGTGGTCGGCCAAAAGTTCCACCAGTCGATCGAACGTCGAGGTGGCATGCGACATGCTTGGGACCACGGATGATTCGGTCGCGTGGTTCGACGTAGCACATGCAGTCGCTGCGTCGGCGACCACTTTTTGTTGGAAGGACGAGACGATGCAAGTGGCATGTAGCATCACACTCGACATCGCTTTCGTGGCTTGTGTCCAAGTCCACGTGTCGTCGTCCGAGTTGTCGAGAGTTTGGTGGTACACCAAGAGCGCGTCGGCTGCAGCTTGCGCTTGGCATTCAGCCAAAGCAAGACCACTGAGGCATTGCGCGCCGACAAAGTGGGCGACGCAGGATTGAATGGCAGGTGGCCGAACGACGTGCACGCGCGAGGGCGGCGATAGAATGCACCGAACGAGGGCAAACTGTGCGTCGCAAGCAGCCACCGTCGCAAGCGGCTCTGTTGCCCCGGGCATCGGCGCCAAGCTGAAAACACCAATGCCGCTCGTGGCATCGTCTTGAATGATCGCGTGGCATGCGAGGGCAATCGACACTTGTTCGACTTCGAACACTTGACACGGGTGGTTGGCATCGCCCTTTTCAGGAATTTCCCCTTGTACTAGTCGGTGTTTGCTCCTAAAACGAGGGAGTCAGCGACAAGTGCGGGCCGGGGGCCGTAGTAATAGCACCTCGACGTGGTGGAGATTGCCCCTAAAATGAGGGCGTTGCCTCGGATAGCTTGCCGGGGGCCGGCGTAAAGACACCACGGCGTGTTTAGGAGAGGCGGGCACATTTGCTCACGGGGGCAAGTCTGGCCTTCGAACGACGCACGGTGGCCTCTGTCGACGTATCGCGACCGCAGATCCGTTTCGAAGGTGGTGGCGATCGAACACTGGCTCAAAGCGTGGCCTGGTCGTCGTGGCATCAACGTGCTGGGCTGGCAACACCTATGTACATGCAGCAGCGTTGTGGGGGGAGGGCCACCATCCTTAGGACAACAATCAAGTCGACGAGATGGTGGGGGGGGGCATGGGTTGCCAAGCGGGGTCCGACGAATACATCCACCTGTATCGACCCCACGTGTATTGTGCTGCACGAGCGGTCAGTATCACACTGTTCGAACACTGCGCACGTTGGCCTGGTTTGGCTCACCGCAACGAACACTCGCCAGAACCGAGTCGCGTGGCCCTTGCAGCAGCAGCAGCAGCGTTGTGGGGAGAGGCCATACGCTATGCATATCAAAGCGAGATGTCATTACAAGCGACCGTCCCAACTTGGCGAATTCATCCACCTGTATCGACCTACCGGTATATCGTGCTTGGTGGGGGCCGCGTTGTGCAACGTGCCTCGACAGTTCACGCAATTCATCGATTGAGTTGCCGCTAGCGAGCGCCTGTGGCGAAAAGTGTGGCGAGGATTGCAGTACGAAAAGCAAGTCGTCGCGCTGCTCGAGCCCGCAACAACGCGTCCAACTGTTGAGAACGCGTGATCGTGTTGAGCGGTTGGACCAATTGTGTGTGGCACACGCCTGTCTTCGCCACATTTCCGACATTGTAGAGACCCCAGTCTAACACACATCCACGATTGCAACGGTCGGAGGGCTGCGTCGCGCTCACTGCTCGACTACTTCCAAACGCAGGCATCTCCACAACTCGGCCACGTGCCGCATTTTGGGAGGTTAAATAGATTTGTGGACAAGGGCTACCTCTACATGTACTGCCTACAATCGACATGGTCGGTGTTGTCTTCGAATCCGCTGTCGTCGTTCAGGTCCAAGTGCAGCAACTCGGGGGGTGGCGAAGACACGTGGACGTAGTCGGCGTCGTAGTCATGGTGTCGTCGACTCAACGCGGCATAGGGATCGTGATGTTGTCCAAGGGGCAGTGTCGGCGTGACCATGCTTGGGGAAATGCGGGGCAGAGAGGCGGGCGGGGCTTCGACCGGGGCGACAGGAGGGCAGAGCAATTTGAAGTGCCGGCCGCAATACGGACCGTTCCTGGCATGCGACGTGCACTGGTCGACTTTGCACATGCGGCCGCCGCCGTGTCGCACACACTTGCCTTGCAAATGGGCAAGAGTTTCGCAGCCTTCGGTGCTGCACCGTTTCTTCTGCGGGGCATGTTTCGAGCAAAAGTCGCCCAGGCGCCTCGTGATGCCGCAGCCTGGGACCGTGCACAGCTTCTTCCCGCCGTGGTGGATGCACCGTTGGCGCGCGTACACCATGTTGCGGCACTGGTCGACCATGCACCGCGGCTTGTCAGTGTGGTCGAGGCATGCCCAATGCCCTGGCACAGTGTCTCCATTGCAATGGTTAAAGAAGCATGTCGTGCTGTGGAGCGTCGGCGTTTGTCCATTGTCGCGGTCCATCGTGCGATAGCTCGGGTGCGCGATGGAGCAGAGACACCACTCAATGATCAATGAAAGGTCGAATGGTGGCTTGCTTGATGTGTGCATCGACGAGAAGCATCCCACTCCAACGCCGCGAAACCTCTGTGACACTAAAATGGGTGCCAGCAAGTGGGGTTGCTCTGACAAGGCAGTCTTGCGCCGGACGTGGCACGACTCTCTCCAAGTGCCTCCCACCCTTCCAACCATCCAGCGAAGGTGACATCCCCACCCCCCCCACAATGCACCGCTGCGTCACGATCATCGGGTCGCCGCAGCTCTCTCTCCCCCCTTTCATTCCCCGTGGCCATGTCCTATCTTTCGTGCAAGACATGCATCAACACCATGCGCTTCGCCCGGAACCTCGCAGTTGTCTCAACCCACGTCGGGTTTACAGTGGATAGCCATAGCCGCGCCGCACCCTGCTTTCTACGGACATACCAAAGCGGTGCGGCTTGCCTCCCGGTCCCCCCCCCAACAACCTCAATGACACAGCCCTAGTCATGCTTCAAGAGCGGCATCCAAAATGGATGGCACTCTCCGACTCTCTCCCCCACGTGTATCTCTACGCGTTGACCGTCGGTGGGCCACCTGACTTTGTGGAATGGACGTTTTAACGATTTCAACCACGACGTTTAAGTCGGTTCATTGGGTGAATTCGGGCAAAGGCGACACTAAAACGTTGGGGGGCGCGACACCTGTGGGCATCCCTGCAGGGAGCGCTAGGCACATGGCGGGAATAAAAGGGGCCATCACGATCTCGTGCTACACATCCACGGCACAGGAGGGGGGGGGGTTCGTCAAGCGCATGCACCGGCGTCGGGGGATGTCCCTTGCGTTCATGCAACACCGCAACCCCCCAACACACATGATGGACGCCGCTGCGACAGAATGGTGACGCAGTCTTGACCTACTAATGGCGGCAACTGAGAACGACAGCAGGCAAAGAGGGGTAGGACGATACCATGCGTTCAAGGGATGACACCGTGACGCTCTTGGGAACACTGGTGTTTTTCACGAAAGCGAACGCAGTAGGATTGGTCGAGAAAAAGTAGATTATAGCCAATTCCAACGCGAGTGTTCCAACCAGACAACGCAGTACTGCGGCGTGCGCCACGTTAGACGTTGAAATTTGTGTTTGTATGGTGCATGTGAGGTATTACGGGGAGTGAAAGCCTCTCCTCGCGTGGAGGAGTCCTGACGGGTGCCATTTCTTTATGAATGAATCAACAATGGTAGGTGGGGACATTTCGCCTCCAAACAGGGATGTCCCCTGGCCTTTGAGCATGTCCCAACGTGTTCGTAGCAGACGAATACATGCAAGTTCAAGGGTGCGTGAAGTGGCTGCGACAACCTACCATCACATCGTAGCATCCCATCATGGCTTGCATGTATATGCAACTTCTTCATGACGGACGGTACGCACCTGCAAGCTTTTATGCAAGTTAACGTGGGGCTTTGGGGGGAGGTGGACGCTGTACCTCCCCAGGCGCTTTGCACCTTGGTTCTTTCATGTGCCATGGGTCAAGGATTGGCATGAATACTCACTTGCGCTAGAGATACCCGAGACTCAAATGCCGACACAGCGCCCATCACGAGGTTGCCTACTGTACAGTGAACCCCGGAAAAAGCCGACATGCTTTCATCGTGAAATGCATGGAGCGGAATAATATCGAATTTATTAAATTGCTCGACTTCGTTCAAGTTGATTGGCTATAATCAGGAGAATTTATGTGCACCAATCAGAAGCGCTACAAATTTAACTACACCTCAGTATCGATACTGGCCAGGGGGTCTGACATTTGAGATTTGTGAAAATTCATGTTCTCCTGTCCTGCTCAGAAACAACCCTAACCACACATGCATTCCTTATAAACCTACACCACGACAATATCGGGTTTTGGAATTGCCTTCTTGAATGCACTC